CGTATAAACGCTAATCGCAAATTTTGGAAGGTAATAATTCTAAAATAATAGTTTCCGGTAAAACAATTTCGCATCATCATTTTAAGCTTAAAAACAAGTCGTTTGAAAAAAAAAATTGAAAATCTTGAGGTCAGTAAAGTGCATTTGTTTCTGTTTTGAGATGAGGATGCTACTCTAGAATTTTRGTTGGTGATGCGGTCTACAGTAACTCGGGTTCAAGATTTTTCCACATAATATCATTTTCCGTCACATTATTTAATTTCATCATTAACCTTAACTCTTTAATCAGTCAAATAATTACACTCCTTTCCTCAGTCCTTAATGCATTAATCTCTAAAGTTACTATTTTAATAAGTAGTCTGAGTAGTCATAACTGTTTCCATGCAATTTTTCCTCATTATTATTTTTATAACCTTACCTAAGGTTATATCTTTTATCTTCATTAATGTTTAAAATAATATAGCGGTATTTGTGATTCTGTATCCGCATATTTAAATTAGGTTTATATAATTATACCCATAATACCAATATCATTACTTTTATCTGTTTATTTTATTACTCTATATCATACTATGCATATAATAATAGTATCTAGTCACATACATATATAATAATTGTTGCTTTCTTATAATAATTATGTAAACATACCTGATGAAAAATTGTACCGGTGCAATTAAAGGGTAGGCAATGAGAGTTAGATACGGTATATAACGAACTAAAAGCGGTTTGTCATCGGTGGGAAACCAATGAATAAATGGATGCAGCAACGTCATCTCTAAGTCGTGTACAGTGTTGGTGTAAACGTGGTGACTGACTACATGCGATATTCTCCATTCTCTATATATATATATATATATATATTATAAAAAAAAATGATAAAACTATTATAACTATATTATAATTCAGTGCACGACCGACTATATAAATGAGAAGCTATTGAATTTATTGAACGTAACCTACCTCACCGAGAACATGCTTAGCTGCATGTAATACATCCTCCAATTGTCTTTGAGGTGAGTGAAATTATGACTTGCRACGGTTCCAAGCCCCAAACTGATACCTGCCAATATGGCCAAAAATGTGCTTTGAGTTCGTGCGACTGCCGCGCAGAGGACTAATGTTGCGAAAAACCAAGTGTCGATGACCAGCATAGATTTGATGGAGACATCACGACGGTTGATTTGGGATAACTTTTTATTAACTCGAGACTTCAACACGTTGTAAAATCCGTCAGGTTTGAACGTGAAAGGCGATTTCCTTGGCGTCTTTGCCCGGCGCACAAAGAACTTACCCATCACTTCCCTCGCGGCTTTTTGATTAAAATGATACGTTTCAAACAATTCTGTAATATCCGTACCCTAAATATAATAAATAGATTTTTCTGTTAATATTAATTATAATTATATTATTCGATAATAAATTATAATCGATGAATTAATAATCCAAATGACGTAAATTTTCTTCCATATTAAGTATTTAAGTTAAATAATTGCATTACTTCTGAAAAAAAAACATAAGTTATCGTCATTGGGAATGGTGAGCTGGTCATACATGACAATTTAAAATACGATTTTATTTTTTTTAACGGGTGGTACGGTGAGACATAAGTTAGGTGCATCGTGCATGTGTTACAGTATAGGTACACATATGCTCTGATATAGGCTAATATTAATATATTTAATTCAGCGTTGTTAAAAAGAAAAGTCAATATTCTGTTTAAAAAAAAGTGAATGCATTAGAACATGATAATACTTTATATGTGTGCCAGTGTGTCTATTTCTACGAAGTACGAAGTAATTAATACTTTTGTAATTTCTAGCCATTGCGATCCTCCAGGGTGCTTRTGTATCCATTGTTTAAGATCATACAATCCATCGTAAATTCTCCACAATTCGTCAGCGCCATCTTCCTCTCGGCGTGCCTCAATCCAACTATCCACCGATCTTATATTGTGATCCGTACTTGATAAATTATTCCATACAGRCCAACTACTTATTCTCGGAGCCATAATGTTGTATAATATGACTCTAAAGTAAAATAATAAAAAACAGAATTATTTCTCTCCATTTCATTAAATAAATRAAGTGTAATACGACTTATAGTCATAMAATATTAAATTTAAACATAATACGTATATGTTACCGGAAATGTTGACATTTAGGAAATGATGACAATTCCTAATAGCRGAAGGAAATRATATCATTGCCTAGTTCATGTWATCATTTTTTTAATCACTTTATTAAATTCACTTCTCATATTAACGAAATAATACGTACTGCACTAAGAAGATAGGCACACACTTCTAAGCGGACCGTGTTGTATGGACAGGTAGGTAGTAGGTACACTTTTAATAAAACACGTAAATGGCTCTTAATTAATCAACCATTTTAACGATATAAGTCATTACCCACCTGATATTTTTTTATAGAACACGGACAATATTGACAGTAATGACAGTATAATGGTTTTTAGCATCTCACCGTTCCGARTTAATTAATACTTATCGTTATAATAGCTTTACATTGTAAAGCCACATTACCCGCAACATCATAATCGCCAATGCTTTCGTGTAAGAATCGATACGTGATAACTAGGACTCGAATTATGCACTTAAAACTACTCTAATATAAATAAATAAAATTATAAAATATGTAGGTATTTTTAACCAATAAAAACACAAAAATATGTAAAGTAAAAATAGTATTATTTGATTCAGTAAAACATGAATTAAATTGGTACATAGGTTAGCATTAAATTGAATAAATAGAAAAAAATATGCAATTTCATAAACATCCGAGCTCTAGTGATAACATTGCCTAAAAAAGTACGGAAATGATGACAATTCYTAGGCGATGAGATMATTTCCTTCCGCTATTAGGAATTGTCATCATTTCCTAGGAACKGTCATAATATATGTAAAAATCACGAAAATTCACAAATTATTTTAAGCTAGAAATTCATAAAAAAATTTCGTTTTATATCTAAGATTTTAAAATTTAATACAAGGCTCATAATATATTTTTACAATAAAAATTGAAAAATAAAAGTAATGCGTAGTCACA